TAATTTACATTTTCAATCCATGAAGTATTTTTTTAAACACATTCTATTTATTTTTTTATATACTTTCGTATTTATATATATATATCGTATATGTCAATATATATATATATATTTGTTATTTTCGTATATATATTATATATTATATATATATATATATTTCTGTTGTTTTCATATATATATATATATTATATATTTTTGTTATTATTGTATATATATATATTATATTTTTTTTTGTTATTTTTGTATATATAACATATTATATATAGATTTGTTATTCTTGTATATATATATATATATATATATATAATCAATTAAAAAATACTTAACATGAAATTGTTATATATGGTTGTAGAAAAGGTACAAGTTACTACTTCATTAATGTTACCAAGTTGATCGCCCATGACTCTGTTGAAGAATGGGGTTGCCCAATAATCAAACCCATAATGTTGTGTACAAAGAAGTCTTTAATAATATATGATTGTTTCTTTGTGCAATAATATTTTTATTGTATAATTTTCCTGCCTATTGTAAAATTTTTATATTGCATATTGCATCTTATAATATAATAATTCCAAAGTTAATATATCTCGTGTCTCGCACATGTTACGTACTATATATATCCCGTAAATTTTTCTTTTTCATTTATATACTTATAAAGTTGGATAAATGTCCTTAAAATTGTACACTCCGTGCATCGCACGGGCTCTGTACTAGTTAATAATTAATTGGTCAAACTATATATATCTAACTAGAGTCGTCATTTAATCCACAACCATTAATTAATGCATTATTTGGCCTATTTTTCCCTACCTCACCAACCAAAAGCCTGCAGGCTCTCGTTGACATACTAATCCTCCTCCTAATTAATGAGTTCCAGCTATTAATCTATATCATAAATTTTATATTTAATTGAACTAATTAATATTAACCAGAATGTTTGATCCACGAACTAAGATTAAAATACTAATTATGTAGTATAGTATAGCCCACTAAAATAATTATATTTTGTTGTCCATACTTAAGTTGCTAATATATAGTGATTATGATTGGGGGTTGACTACAGAAATTCCTCTTGACAAATTATTATTTAACATAAAAAAATAACGTTTAATTAATTAATCTTAGTTTGTTGAACAATAAATATGCATGCGCCTCACGTATTATATTATAACCAATATATATAGCAATTTTAACAAAAGTTTAGTATCTTTCATGTGTGTTGTTTTAGTTTGGAATTCATGCTTGAGTACTTGACTATATATGTACCTAATAGCAGGCTAGGTTTGTCATGAATAATATGGCCTTGTTTGGCGATCAGCGGATAGCGGATTGTATTAGCGGATAGCGGATTATATTAGCTGATTTGACTAGCGGATTGCATTAGCGGTTTTTAAATAAGTGTTTGGTAAATAGCTGAAAGCTTATAGCTGTTTGACATTGCAAATTACCAATACAGACATTTTATTATTTAGGGTGTATTCTTTTAATAATAATATATTAAAATTTAATATTTTTTAGTTGGTAATTTATAAATATATATTTTTTTTAAAAAAATTACTAACAATTGATTAAGAAGTTATGAATTTTATATTTTTCTAGATAAATTAATCATATGGATGACATATTATCATTTGTTAGCATCATAAACCAATGTAGATTGTAAAATAAATAATACAAATTAAAAAGTTCTAAATTAAAATTGTAGATTGTGAATCCTCTATCCCCAAAAAGCTCCTCTAATGAGCTTTTTCTAAATTAGAGTTTTGGCCCTAAAAAGCTTATCAAATAAGCTATTTACCAAACAAGCTCAATAGCGGATTTGACGGGTCAAACCTCTCAATTAAGTCCAATCCGCTAATTTATCCTCAATCCGCTATCTTCCAAACGGGGCCTATATATTTCTCTCTATTCACTAAAAAAAAAAAAGGAAAGTTAATTTGTAGTTATTTTCAATTTTCGATCAAAATGTTTTGACAAAGTTACCTTTTGAAAAAAATTATGAATTTTAATTTGTCATTAATTGATGAAATTAAAAGAAAGGATATTAAAATAAATATTTAATTAAGTATATATAGGTAGACTTTGATAGGATAATATGATTTATTTATATCCTTTTGAATAAATAAAGAAGAAGAAAAACCGACTACATACAGACTGTACAACAACTTTATAGTGGTATACAGTACGCATGCATATATGTTTAACAAATTAAAGGCCCTTTACTTTTTTTTTTTCTTTTTTTTTATTGTAGTGTTTTTGTAAGCAATGAAAAAAAAAAATAAAATAAAATAAAATTATTGAAGGATTATTAATTCTGCTTAAATACTGGATTAATTCCAAGTAATAAAATGGTCCCAAAACTTTTTAAAAATTAATCAATGCGCTATGTTACCTGCCATCGGATTTTACTTTATATCTAACAAGCAATAATCAATGAGCAGTACCTTTAATTTAATTTTATTGTACTATACATTAAAAAACATCTTATTTTATTTTTATAAATAAATAGAATAAATAGTTAGAACTATCAATCAATCTTAAAAATTAATTATATATATGCTCAACTATATGAAAAAACCAAACAATAACAACAGTAAATTAAGAAAAAGACTTCCAAAATTATCCAATCCGATTCTTATCAACATAAGTAGGTACTTTCATACACAGGGAGTTCCTCGCAAAATCGGTAATTACCAAACAAGGCCTTATGATCCAGCTCGAATAAATCCGAACTCGAGTCACTAAAGTCATCTTCATCGACATCATCGCCATCCATCTCGATTTCCCTTCGCTTAGCGAAATCGTTCTTACTCTTAACAAAATCGTGTTTCGAATCCCCTTCGATAATTTTCCTAGTTTGCCCCCCAATCCTCACCCTCAACTCCTCCACTCCTACATTGTTCGTCGGTAGTGGTGGTTTTACGAATTTACCCCTCTCTGAAAAAGCAGGCTCGCTCTTAACTTGACCCGAGTAACGAAATCTAGTCGTCCGTCTCATCCCCTCCGCTGGATTTTTCAACACGTCCCGAAATCGGAGCTCTTCGCATTTTTCGACTTTCTTCGACGTCTTCTCCCTCGAACCTGCGAAAATCGAGCTGATGAAGCTCGTTAGCCTGCCACCTGGCGAGATCGGCTGCTTCACTTTCTTCAAACCGGCGTAGACTCGGTGGGGCATCGATTTCGGCTTGACGAAAACCGAGTCATCCTCGGTTTTGTTCCTCCGATTAATATGGCGATCGTCGAATAGGAAACAGTTGGAGACTTTTGACCTTGACCGGAAAAACTCGGTGTCGGAAAATGCGCCGGAGCTGTCGGAAGAGCTCGAATTCGTCGAGCTGTGGAAAAACGAGTCCTCGATTAATGCCGGTTTTCTTCTGGATTCGCCTTTCTCCCTGGCTTCCGGGTTGATATTTTTTCTTGTAGGCATTCGACCGAGTGGCTTTGGCTCGTTCGATTTTTTACCATCGATCGAGCGGTAGATTTCGTCGAGAAGGATGGAGGAAAACGATGGCGTATTCCTGTGTGTTTTTCTGTGATTTTGTGGTTTTTGTTCCATGATGTACATTTTTTTTTTGCTAACAATTTGAAACTGAGTTTTTTCAGTACTTTTTGTGAATGAACAAATGAAAGGGGACTTTGAATGTGAGACAAAACAGGGGAAGTAGTATATATATAGAAGGCTCAAGGGCGTGTTTGGCAGGTGAACAAAATTACAATCGTGTTTTCAACATAAAGTTAAATAATAGATTTAAATAGGACAAGAATGGACAGCTTAATAAAAAATATGTAGCTATTTAATATAGTCATAAACAATTTTTATGATTATCAATTGCCACCTAAAAAGGGACATTACATCTTACAAGTAACATGGTGGAAGCCCTATGCATGCATGTCAAATATATATATATTTAGAATTTGTGGAAAAACGTAGTCAAAATTAATTTAATTGGAAGGGAACGAGTGGATTATGATATATAATTATATATTGTGTGGGGACTTACTTAGTTAAGAAACTGGTTTAAGAGTAATCACAAGTGGCTGTTTAGTGGGATGCAATTACATACGGGATCACTTCCTAATTGTATATATACTAATAATAGGTTGTTGTAAGCTAAACAACATAGTTTTTTGGTGAAAAAAAATAAAAAACAAATTTAAATTACAACTAATACAACTTTGAAATTCAAAATTAGAGTTTTTAAATGAAGCAAAACACTCGTAATTCGAGTTTGGTTTAACTCATTTGATAATTGACCCAAACTCAAGCTCGTTTAAACAACGAGTCGAACTGAATATAATTGTTTTACATAGTTTGTAGACAATTAGTATAATTCAGTTCGTTGAGACTTGTTAACGAGCCATTTTTTCTCATTCATAGGCTCGTTATCTCAACATCTTGGCTCTGTTTTAGTATGAGGAATTCAAGCTCGACTTGACTGATTTATACACATAGTTCTAGTCAAAATGACGTCTTAGAAAATCTTAAACTAAAAAATGATTTGCCAAATTTAAGGTGAATTCGTTGCAGAAGAAAAGATTTAAATAAATAAATCTTAAACAAATTTTCAGAAATATTTTATGGTTTCAGTCAGCTTTGCAGCAATAGAGGCGTGAAACCAGTTGCAGTACGTGGACATGACATTTCATAAGTTAGGACCACATTGCTGACAACAGCAGTCTCGTAGCAATTTTAAAATAATTTATAATAATAACATTATTAAATACATAAGAAATTAAACAATTACATACACATAATAAAACTATTTAATTAGCCTTGATTGATTTAGTGTGAGAAAGAAAAAATCAAGAGATCAAAAGTGGAAAAAAATAAAGGGTCGTTTGCACTTTAAAGCTTTAGGTGATGTGTTGTACTGTAGCAATCAAGCGTGAAAACTAAAAAACAGAAAAGAGATTATGCATTGCTGCTGCTCTTTATTCTTTGCTAGTTAGTGACTGCACAAAGAGTAGTAAGGATAGATTGTGAATAATATGCAAAGTTGCAGATCCCAAGGACAAAATCTTTTCTAGCCAAAGTCCCAATCAAGATTGGTAGAATTCAATCTACTTGTGATCGGGGTTTTCACCTTTCCATCGATAACACATTGTCGAACAGTGAAAACTCCAATCAAGTTTTTCACCTTTCGATCAACACAATAGTCGAACAATGAAAAAAAAAATAAAAATAAAATCCAATGTTTGCATTGTAGTCCGGTCGGATTTTCGCCCGTTCAAAATATAAGAGGAAATATTAATGCACTATTGTTTTTTGGTAAAAATATACTATATTTTTGGGTTTCAAAACAAAAAGCTCCACAGGTTACTGACAAGCAATTGTACTGAACACGTGCACTCACTTTTTAGTGTATTCCAAAGAGCAAAGCATGCGGCCATTGCATAGATATGAGCGTGTGGTTGAAGACAAGTTCACTTTTGTCCCACACACCACAAATCTTTGTCCTCTAATCCATCAGCTTTGTGTTTGGGACTAAAGTGTTTCCAATTATTACAAGCTGCATTTTGATTTGATTCAAATATAGTCGAAAAATAAAGGAATTCAAGAGAATACTATAAGATAATATGAAACTTTTACGAAGTTCTCAAGGCTGGATTTCGGTTTATTAAGGAAACTGGGAGTGTACACTCGAGGAAAATGAAATTGCTTACAAATCGATGATTTTTTTTTTTTTTGTTTGTCGTTTTTTGGCATTCACTCTGAATTTGCTAATCTCTGGACATCCACCAACTGGTAAAGGTCACCTCGCCTTTGCTTCTCTAGCGGCAGGTTTGTTCTGTAGCCATTAAAAAGAAATATAAGAATCGAGTAGCCTACAAAACCGTGTTAATCAACCATAGCAATTAAAAATTATTAACTATCCATATAGAGTTGAATTTGATATGTTTCACCTCCTGATCTCTATCTGTGAATAGTCAATTTCTGAAATAATAATCGCCTCATCGTGCTCGGTAGTCGCCAACACTTCTCCAAACTATCCCAAATCGAAACCAAATCATTAGTTAATCATAACAATAGGAAACGTTTGAACTAGTTTCAATTAACTTTTTCGATTTATATATGGTATTTTTCATCATGCATTGACTTACAGGACCAATGAGTGTAGAATGGCCCCATGCAACGTACCCAGCACCGGCATCTCGAGCAGGAGAACAAGTCGCTACATACAACTGCCAATTTTTTCATCAAGAGACAAACTCCTCAGGACAACAGTAAGTTATAGCTTTAGCAATAAACTTGAACTATCCAATGTGGATCCCTATCTGTAGTCCCAAGAAATTAACAAACGCGAGGATAGCAATTCGAGGTCTTTATCTGCTCTGACCATGTTGAAGTCTTACGGGCTATCAAAAAAAAAAAAAAAATGAAAAGGAACGGAAAATACCTGATTATCCACGGCCCTGCAAGAAGAGTGTATGAAATTAGATGGTTTATTAAGGATAAAAGCTTGATAGGTAAAATTAAAAGATTGAGATGTAGAATGCCATTACTAAATCCACTCATTCTGTGATTCATGTCAAATGCAAAACGTTAAAAAAAAGAAAAATATACGTGATACAACGACCCAAATATTTCTAATTTTGGAAGAAAACCAAGTCTTGATAGTTAGGCTTTCTCAGGCAACTTTCTGTATAGTTTTACATTCCCCTGTTTTAACACATATTACAATTCTATTTGACAAGGTGGCACCTGACATGACATGGTTTCTAAGCTGATAAATAAAGTTAAAAAAAAAAATAAAAAAAATCTATGCGTGAGAACATGAAAGAAGTGTATCTGGTAAGTTCATTAAAGTTACCGTGCCCTTTGCAGTAACTCCCAGTGCAAAGGTCCCGTAGTCATGTTGAATGCTCCAGGGTAACAAATCAACTGAGCACCTACCGATCAAAATTTTTACCCCCCATCAGCAAGAACTTGTAACAATAATCAGTAACTCGCTTGAAATTTCTGAATCTTGCAATTCATAACACAAAACAACTTTTAATGATACCACCGCCAATTGGTAACAATCCCACCAAAACCAAGAATCGAGAGAGAAGTTTCAATTAAGATGTTGGAGAGTATTAAAGAAAAAATAAAATTAAAAAAAAAAAAGAATTTAAACCTCTTGCTGCATAGATCATAGCCAGTTCTTGAAATCTAATGTCATAGCAGATGCCAATCCCAATTCGGCCAACCTCTGCACATAACAAATACAACTCTTTGTCAACATTTAAAACATAGGACGATCGGATGCTTGTAGCCATAATGTGACAAAGTATCCGTGAGGCATTTCAAGCCCTAAATATCAATTTGGACTTTCTAAACAAGCTCAATGCAACAAGTGGTACTTTACAAGATTAAAAAATCAAATAATGTTTTTGGTTATAGCTTTACAATTAAGTCTACATTTCGCAAACAAATTGAAGAAAAGGCACCGGTTTAGCTGGAGTTTTACCGAGACAACAGCCGATCCATTAGTGAACCCCCGGCTTTTAGCTTATAGTAATAGATATATCACAAAGAAATATATTATATGATAATGAATGACAAAATCATAATTTGTTTTTGGTACACGGCTTCATCCAATGCCTTAGTTTCATTGCCAATTGACTATGATACAGTCAAAATTTCAAACTGTAGCCATATTCCACAAACCATACTACTCATATTGAGAATGTAAAATGCAGAAAGTATTTCAAAGATCCATCATTCTAAAGTGTCGAGTCCATAAAATACATATACCTGTGTCTACCGTGGTAGGAGTCTCCCCAGCTGTAAGAGTCTTTGACTCCTTGAAGGTGATCTTACCAGGAATGTCAATATCAAATAGGTGTATCTGTATTCAGATGTCCAAAACTGAAAAATTAGTTGAAATGCAAATAGATCTATATCTTCTCTCACCAATTCGGGATTGTCGCAGCAGAAAATCATTAAATAAATGCACTCACAGACTCAAACTCTTCAAGAGCACCAGTTTATTACATGCATCAGTTTAGATATGGACCTAAAATTAATAACCCCATAAAGCAGATTAACTTTCATGAAACTATTAATTAGTGAAAGGCTGCAAAGTAGCTCACAATATCCAGTGATCTTTTTCAGATACCATGCGGAATAATCCTGATTTCAATTTCTTTCCCATTAACATTTAAATCAAATTTTAAAAAAGCCAAATATCTTGCACTACAGAGAACCTAAATCTAGGCCGTGAATGAAAAATTTCAGGACTTTCTGGTTATTTTGATGAACAGTGAACAATAAGAAATTAAAACATCTGAAATGACCTTGCGATGTTTAGCTTTAAGCTTTCCATCCGATCCAAAAACACAACACGCGTTGTACAGCTTATCGCCACTCCTTTCTGGTATTGAACCTCCAATAATTGTGATGTTGAGGAGACGCGCAACTTCAGACAACATTGCCGTGGATGGTGATGCATCAAAACCAGCATCGATATCCTCAGCATATAGTGGGAAGCTATCATTTGAATAAGGACTGTTCCATATTTCCTGGTGAAAGAAAAAAAGCATGTAATGAATCTAAATATTATCACTCCTCTTGCTATGTGGTAAGGATAGGAAGCCAAAATCCTTAAAAAAAAAAATGACCCTTTTTAAAAAAAATCACTGTGGTTTCTGCATAAGTACTGTCGTTTACGATACATGATAAAAGTGATTGTCTTGATTCCAAAAACTGGGATCTCTCTATGCAAGTTGGTAGTATCAATTCTATTTGAAAATTACTCTAGTTTGACATGGCTAAAACCATACTACATTCATTGTTCATAAAGCTAAAAATAAGCTGAAAGAACTGTGGCGCAGTTGAATTAGTACTCTTTCAGCAATTGCTCGCTCATATGCCCGAAAGTTACCCATTTAAGCTTTTGATCATTTCAAAATTTTCTACAACCCATCATTCATCATCATCCCGATGATCCAAAGATAAACAAAGGCCCAGAAAATAAGTGTTCCCAACTCAACAACTACTTTCGGTATGTAAACTAGAGACTATTGGGACACCTCGCAAACCAGATCATATGCCAAGAAAATCATCTTACAGGCAACACAACAAGCTTCGCCCCCTTTTCCGCAGCCTCCTCTATTGCAGTTCGCGCATGCAAGATATTCTTCTCTTTGTCAGCTGTCACTTTCAACTGGCACAATCCGATTTTAAACTACAAAGAGACCAATCGAAATACATAATTAAACACAAAACACACTCCAAAAGACAAAAAAGATTGAATCTTTATCATGTACCCGACATTTTATCACATTTTACTCCAAAATCGATATGACTGAAGCAACCCAAAAGCTATGACGAACAAACAAAAAAAACCCAAAACAGACAAGGAGCGTTACCTTGGTGATGGGAGGAACTGGAGACTGAACAGCTGGCGGCACTCGAGCTTTTTCCGGGTAGAAAGATGACGCCATGGATGAAAATGAGGCCGCGGCTGTACCTGTAGTACGAATTGACTTCGAGTTTAGACCTTCACTTCTAGAGGCAGTATTTTCGAGGCGTCGGATAAATTGACGGCGGGGAAGGACGGTGGGTGCAGGGAGCACGAGCAGGCGAGAAACAGACGATCGGATAGTGTGCGAAGCCAGAGACGAAGGCCTCATTCGTACCCAATCTGATTCATTTTCTTCAGACACAAAA